ATAAAAAACTTGAAAGTGAACGGTGTAGATAATATGTTGTAAAATATATTATTTTTTATACTTAAAATCTTTTAATTTTTCATATTCATACGTCTCAATGTCGAGATGATCAATCAAAAGGTTTTTCAACATTACAACTACCTTTTCCGATAGATTTTTCATGGGCATCCGTAGTTCTACATTATAAGGTATAATGTAGCATCCTTATATAAACTTTTTCCATATATATATATAAAAAGTATAGAATGAGACCCTACGGTATAAGGCAGTTGCCTCTTTCAACCTTTTCCTTTTTATATAGATTACTCGTGCTTTGAGGAGAGAGAGGAAAGAGGAGAGAGGAGAGAGAGAGAGAGAGAGAGCAGAAGAAGAGATTGGAAATAACAGATGATATTAGGAATCGAGAGACTAGGATGGCCCTGGTTCCCTTTTTGAAAATCGAGATACGAGACACTAGGAAATCCCCCGGCCCCCTTTTGATTTGCGTGTTAAATCTGCTAGTTATTTTTAAAATAGAGAAATTATTATAGGACGTCTTCCTCCCTTGTAGGTAAAACTTCAAAAAAACACTATTAAATTTAATACAGATCTCTAAAAAAAGTCAAGTCCCACACCCATGTGAAAACTTTTTTAGATATCCGTATCAAATTTAATGGTGATCTTTTGAGGTCAAGGATCCTATAGGATCATTACTTTCTAATTACTCTTTAAAATATCTAATGGTGATCCATTACTCTCTAATTATTCTTTAAAATATCTAATGGTGATCCATCCAATCTTTTCTTTTCCCCCTCTCTCCCTTCAAATAAAAGAACTACCACAAAAGTGACGAACAAGGAAAACAACCATCTGAAGTGAGTGATCAGAAATAGATACAAGCCATAAGCAATCCCTCTCTATCAGGCCCGACTTAAAGCACTCCAAAATTCATGCCTGATATGCCACATAATAATATAGGCAATGACTTTTTTTTTTCTTCATTTGCATTCAAGAAATAGAAAAATTAACCAAAATAAGAGCCCCACACAAATTGCAACTTAACAGGTACTTCAGGCCAAACTTTTTTGAGAATGTTGACTTTTAATTATAGTAATAAAGGAGTATAGAGTTTAAAGAGAAGAGGAAGGTACTTCAGGGCAATTGTCAATGACTGTTAACAACTTCAAGCAATTTAGAATAGGAAAGTACATGACCATCCAAAAGACTGCGAAACTGTAATCCATTAAATTATCACCGTCAATTGGAATGACAACTGGTGATAAAGAGAGACAGAGGTCCCCACATCGGGATCATTCCCTATTGCTGAAGGCCCGTCAATCTTCATCATGCTCAATCATTTCAAAGGATAGTAAGGACTCAATGCAGTTGGGTCTTTCCATACCCCATAAGGTTTTTACTTACAATTTCCTTTCCAGGTAACAGAATGGACTTATCTGCCATGAACGAGAAGAAGAAGCAAAAAATTATGGCATGCTTTCATTTTCTAAAAGCCCCATTCCCCTCTCTTCTTTTTTGAAAGGAAACAAATAAATTAACAAAGGATTCTAAAAAAGTAGCAATCTAAGAGAAACACATACCACCCACTAACAGACCTTCTGAAGAGGGATCGGCTTCACGGCACTCTTGATCCTTCGAAGAGCAGTCCTCAACCTCTGCTTGAGACCCTCATTCTCGCACTCCACAACCCCACTTTTGCTATCAACAGTTGCAACCACCCCATCAACCGAAACCACCATCTTCCCTTCCTCTCCAGCCACCCTCTTCACATCACCAAAGAGTGAATTAAGAAGTGCCAAAACCACCTTCTCAGCTGTCCTCTCCATCTCTTCCTCGGTGACCCCCTCTCCCATTACCCCCACTCTTGCAATTCCTCTATTTATATTCAAAATGACAGTCACGACTGAGTCAGAGACCATATCGCTTATTGGGTCTGTGGACCACTGTATTGAGACACATTTAGTGTTTTCTTGCTTCACTGTAACTCGATCGTGGACAAGAAGAGCTGTGGGACTTTCAGTTGGGTCACCCAACGGCTCTACACTTTCATATATTTGCTTTAATCGGTGCCTTATCACACTGAATGCACCTTCATAAGGGACTGAGATCCTTTGGGCTATGTTTCCAGTTGATAACTGCGTAAATATGTGGAGGTCCTCTGGCGCAATTATCTGATATGTGAAGCCTTTCTTGACAAGCAACCCATTTACATGTTCACCTTTGGAAAAAAAAAAAGAAAATGAAATAAGGGCAAGAAAGGTGGTTATAATAGTATGACAAAGGAAGGTTGATTAGCACAGTTTGAATCATGGAGCTAGTTTGCAAGAAATAGATTTCCAATTGTGTTTTTTTTTTTATTAATCAGTCACAATTCAATATATGTTCAAATTAAAAAGGTCAAATAAAAGTAAAAGAAGAGGAGGAAGCAGGCAGATGATCACAAAAACTATCCACTCCCGATACCCCAACATTTCATACTATCCAAAATTCATTCTGATATTTATCATAAACCTACAATTTAATAAGCTGCATTTTACGGGACAAGCTTTTTTCACCTTCTTTTGGAATCTTTTCAGCTAACCGGCCTATTGCTTTTGCCATCTTCTCTGAATTGAAATGCATCTCAACAGTTTGGCAGTTCTTTGGAGTGAGGATTTTTGTGTTTTTATCAGGCAATTGTGCAAGGAGCTTTTGCTTCAGCCTCCCCATCTCATTTGCCTCACCATGAACGAGGATTATGTTTGGAGGCATGAGATCCTTTAAAAATTCAAAGGTCTGGCCATAATCAGCGTGTGCTGAGAAAGAAATGTAATGGACCTGAGCATCATTGAGAATGTCCATTAGTTGATGAGCCAAATGATAAAATTCAAGGAAACTGGCAGGTAAACTATTACATACTTTTATATCATGATGCATCTATTTACTTCCATGACTGAAAATAAACATAGATACTTCTTCAGATATGATAACAATACAATCCATCAAAAACAAGGGAAAAGGAAAATTCAATAGGTTATCTACCTTCGATTTTTAAGAAAAAATTGACTTTGTATTAACATAGTAAAGAAGGATTTTCATGGTTGCATTACAGTAGGATCCGTTTAAAAAGGGATTATACATTTTGGGCAAGCATTCTTTTTCATTCTGATCATTGCATAATCTGACTCTTTTTTAGAACAAATCCAAAACAATATATCCTCCGTACAAAACTTCTATTCGATTTATGAACGCCTTTTCATAAAACAGACACGGGCCAAGGGAGTTATTTGTACAATGAACTACACAATGTTCTATTCAGGAATGAGCCCTTATTATAGCAAAACCATAGGCATTGGACCTTGCTTTGCAAATGCATCTGCAGCTGTGTTTGCCTGATGCCACATGCGCTTGACGGAGACTAGTGAAGTAGTAAAAATTTCAAAAATTCAGTCAAACAGTTATTCTCAGTGCCAAGAAGGCCCATCAAATAACACTCCTTGAATTCACTTCCACTTCAAGTGAGTGGACCCAATTCAAGTCAAAATATTTAAGACCCTCCAACAATCCCACAGCCTCCGCCTTGGTGGAGTTTGCTGCACTAATGGGACTTGTGTGGGACATTAAGAGTTCGGGCACATTCGATCTAAAGATCCCCCTAACAAGTGCTGGGCCCGAGTTGCCTAGGGAGCAATAATCAAGTTGAGCTAGATGGCACCAAGAGGTAGAGACAACCATCATCATCATCATCATCAAAGCCTCTCAACTAATTGGGATCGGCTACATGAATCTGGCCCGCTATTCTGCTCTATTAAGAGCCATACCCTCAATATGAGGCCAAAGTCCCCCATATCTTTTCTCACTACTTTCAACCATGTCCTTTTGGGCCTATCCCTTGCCATTTTTTAGCCTTACACTAACAGGTACTGGTTCTGCACTGCACATGATCAGCCCACCTAAGTCTACTTTTTCTCATCTAATCACCTATTGGTGTCACACCTAAATTCTCCCGAATATATTTATTTTGAATTCTATCCCTTCTTATCTTGCCACTCATCCATCTCAACATCGTCATCTCAAGTACACTCATTCTATGGATATGTTGTTTCTTGACCACCCAACATTCCGCCTCATAAAGCAAAGCTAATCTCACAGCTGTCCTATAGAACTTGCCCTTTAGCTTCATTGGTATGCGGCGATCACATAAAATTCCGGTTGCGGATCTTCATTTCGCCCACCCAGCTCTAAGTCTATTTGCGACATCTTCGTCAATCTCTCCATTTTCGTGGATTATCGACCCAAGATAGCAAAAGTGAGGTCATTTGGTATTTCTTGGTCGTCAATAGTAACTACTTCATCATCTCTACTCCAATTGTTAATAAACTTGCAGTCTATATACTTTGTCTTCGTCCGGCTAATTTTAAAACTTTTAGATTCTAGAGCATCCCTCAAAACTATGTCGTCGCAAACAATATACACCATGGTAGCTCATCTTGAAGATGCCTAGTTAAGGCATACATAACTAATACAAAGAGAGGTATAGGCTCAATGTTGACCAGACCTATTGTCGCTGAAAACCCACTCGTCTCTCCACTAGTTATTCACACACTAGTTAGCGCTCCCTAGATTAGAGGCAACCATATATTAGATCTGGAAATCTCCATGGGTCTTGTGTTTTGGATGAAGCCGAGACCAGCCAATGATGTCCTGCTTTCTAGCCCAAAAGGTCAATGTGGCTTTAATCTTGTCCTTAAGGCCCTCAATTACCTTTTTGCTCACAAAGATTCTAGAACTGCTTTCCAGCCATAATGGCCGAGTAGAGGCCAACACAGTGGCCCAGCAAAGGAAGAGCTCGTCGGCAGGAAATTGTGGACAGAAATATCAAGGGAATAGTTGTTAGACATTTTCAAGCCAAGCTCCCACCCAGTCAAAGAGGCCCAGGATAATAGCGCAGATCTTGGCAGCAATGGCAATGGATGAGCAAGTGGTCAAGAGCTTCCACTGATTGCTAGCACATAACATATCAGTTGGGAAGTGGGATGCCTCTCTTTAGGATTTGGTAAGAGCCTTCTTAGAGATAACCAATGTTCAAGGAGGCACAGGCGGCCACCTAGGCGGTGAGGGCTCTAGGCCACCTAGGCGCTAAGGCGAGCATCCAGACCCAAAGGTGGCCTGTATTGTCTTTTTTTTGTAAGTTGGATACCCACACCTCCTCCTATTTTATTGTATATAATATATAATAATAATTACGAATGAATGCTATTTTTATGTTTTACCAATAAATTAATAATTATTGTCCCATGTTACCAATAAATTAATTACTATCACATACAAAAAGCATTTTCGAGAAATTAATAATTACGAATTAATATTATCTTTTGGTCTACCAATAAATTAATAATTACTATCACATGCAAAAATATTTTTGATAAATTAATAATTACGAATTAATACTATCTTTTGGCCTAAATTAATAATTACTATCACATGCAAAATGCATTTTTGATAAAGTAATAATTACAAATTAATATTATCTTTTGGTTTACCAATAAATTAATAATTACCATCGCATGCAAAAAGCATTTTCGATAAATTAATAATTACAAATTAATATTATCTTTTGGTGTATCAATAAATTAATAATTATTGTTACATGCAAAAACCATATTCGAGAGACATTAATAATTATGAATTAAAAATATCTTTTGGTTTATCAATAAATTAATAATTACTGTTGCATGCAAAAAGCGTTTTTGAGAAATTAATAATACCTTTTGGTTTACCAATAAATTAATAATTCTTGTTACATGCAAAAAGCATTTTCGATAATTAATAATTTTGAATTAATACTATCTTTTGGTTTACCAATAAATTAATAATTACTATCACTCGCAAAAAGTATTTTTGATAAATTAATAATCAATAACTATCAATAAATTACTAAATATGAATTAATAAATTAATAATTACAAATTCATTATCATATTTTCAAGGCAGTCGTCTTGGGCACCTAGAGAATTCCGCCTAATTCTGCCTGCCTTACCCTCGCCTAGTTGTTTTTTTTTAAAAAGTCCGCCTAGGCCGCCTGAAGGCCAACTATTCGAACACTGGAGATGACCAACAATGGAGACGCTCGAGAGACTGGAGTATGCCAAGCCTTATATGTTGGGAGAACTACATTGTTGGAGGGGTACAAATTGTTATGGATAGAAGATGATGCAGTGGGCTTTTTAATATTTATTTTTTAATTTTATTACTTTTAGATTTTTAGATTTAGGTTGGGTTTTTAGTTTTTCTTTAAGGTTATTCTAGTCTTTTTTATTTGTAGAGATTTTAGGGGTAAAATTCGAAGCTTAGTTTTTTTTAAAAAAAAGATGGATAAGGATAGGGATTAGTATGGTTGGGTTAGTTAGGATATGTTAGATTTGTTTTTAAGAGACAAAAGTGAGATAGAGTTTAGTTTGTTATTTTTATTCATTGTTTTTTTAAGTTTGCATTTAAGGGAAGAGGTCCCTTATTTGTAAGGAGAGTGATTGGAGAATAAACAAAGAGTTGATCTCGTGAAAAGATCTTGAGGTAGACTCTCTTGCAAACCCAAAGAGAGCGTATAATCTCTCAAATCTTTATTTTCTAGTTTATCTTTATAATCTCATGCAGACCTAGAGGTGGACTCTCTTGTAGACACTGCATCAGTTGGTATCAGAGCCTTGAGATGCCTGCTAATCACAAATAACTACTGATCTAGTTATGGAGCGCGTAGATCAAATATTTAAGCTATTAGATCAAAAACTTGAGACTCAAAGAAAACAAAATATATCGACAAAGTAATACAACAAAGTCTACAAGATTAGTTTAGTAGATTGCAGCAAGAGGAAGAAGAATATGAAGAGGTAAATCTCAACGCAAAAGATGATGTCAATAGCCCAAACGTGCAAGAAATTTTAAAAATCAATGGTGAAGAAAAAGATGTGTTACAGCTTGTGAAATACTACCCTGTTCGCCTGAAGGAGAAAGCAAGATTCAGTTTGGTATTCCAAAGCTCGGTGTCTCAGACTTCCACTACAAATCGTGTTGCATCATACTGTTTATTTGAAGAAAGAAAAGTACCTAGAAGAATGTTGGGACTGCATCACCAACTTTTGAAAAGGCTCCTAAAAGATTTGAGTTCAACAAGCTCGAGATCGAGCTTCTTCCAACACCGGGAGAATAACGTAGTGGGTTTTTATTTTTTATTTTTTAATGTTATTGGTTTTAGACTCTTAGATTTAGGTTGGGTTTTTAGTTTTTCTTTAGGGTTATTCTTGTCCTTTTTAGTTGTAGAGATTTTAGGAGTAAAATCAGACGCTCAGTTTTTTTTAAAGAAAGATGGATAGGGATAGGGACTAGTATAATTACTTTTTTTTAAAGAAAGATGGATAGGGATATGGATTAGTATAATTGGATTGGTTAGAATATGGTAGACTTGTTTTTAAGAGATAAGGAAGAGATACAGTTTAGTTTGATATTTTTATTTATTATTCTTTATAATAAATAAAAATGAGAGAAAGAGTAGACTTAGGTGGGCTGGCCATGTGTGGAACCGATCAAATACAACACATGTTAGGAGGTGTGAATTAGTTCAAGTGGAAGGACTGAAAAGGACAAGGGGTAGGCTCAAAAGGACGTGGTTGGAACTAGTCCGAAAAGGTATGTGGACTTATGGCCTCATTGAGGAGATGACCTTTAATATAGCCTAATAGAGAACCAGGATTCTTATAGCCGACCCCAATTAATTAGGTAAAGGCTAAAATGATGATGATGATGATGATTCCTCATAAATTTGTATTTAAAGTGAAGAGGTC